TACCAGCAGGAAGTAGTTTGGAAAGAACGACGCCCAAATTCCCAAATATTGTGTATAAATGTTTGTTTTCATTTAATTGGACTTTGTTATATAAAATTAAAAAAATAAATAAAAAAAAGAATTCTTTCTGCAGTTCTGTACCCCATTTTTTAATAAGGTTATTTGGTGTTTTGTTGACTAGTTTCTTGAGTTCTTTGTATATTTTGGAGATCAGCCCTTTGTCGGATATAGGATTGGTGAAAATCTTTTCCCATTCTGTGGGCTGCCGTTTGGTCTTTTCCACTGTGTCCTTTGCCTTACAGAAGCTTCTAAGTTTGAAGAGGTCCCATTTATTAATTGTTGCTCTCAGTGTCTGTGCCCCTGGAGTTATATTCAGAAAGCAGTCTCCTGTACTAATTTGTTCAAGGGTACCTCCTACTTTCTCTTCTAAGAGGTTCATTGTGGCTGGATTGATGTTGAGGTCTTTAATCCATGTGGACTTGAGTTTTGTGCATGGCGATAGACATGGGTCTATCTGCAGTCTTCTACACACCCTCATCCAATTGTGTCAGCACCATTTGTTGAAGATGCTGCCTTCACCCCATTGTATAATTTTAGCTGTTTTGTCGAAAATCAGGTGTTCATAGGTGTGTGGGTTAATATCAGGATTTTCGATTCAATTCCATTGGTCTACTTATCTATTTTTGTGCCAATACCAGGCTGTTTTCAGAACTATAGCTCTGTAGCAGAGCTTAAAGACAGGGATGGTTATGCCTCCTGAAGTTCTGTTATTGTACAGGGTTGTTTTGGATATCCTGGGTCTTTTGTTTTTCCATATAAAGTTGATTATTATCCTTTCAAGGTCAGTGAAGAATTGTGCTGGGATTTTAACGGGGATTGCATTGAATCTGTAGATTGCTTTTGGCAAGATTGCCATTTTTACTATATTTATCCTACCTATCCAAGAGCATGGGAGATCTTTCCATTTTCTGGTATCTTCTTTAATTTCTTTCTTGTTTGGTAAGTGTTACACCAATATACTTTATGTTGTTTGTGGCTATTGTAAAGGGTGATGTTTTTCTGATTTCTTTCTCAGCCCCTTTGTCATCTGTATATAGTAGGGCTACTTTTTTTTTTTTTTTTTTTTAAAGTTTATCTTCTATCCTGCTAGTTTGCTGAAGGTGTTTATCAGCTGTAGGAGTTCCCTGGTAGAGTTTTTCTGGTCGCTTCTGAAAACTATCATATCATCTGCAAATAGAGAAAGTTTGATTTCTTCCTTTCCAATTTGGATCCCCTTGATCTCCTTTTGTTGTCTTATTGCTTTAGCTAGAACTTCAAGTACGATATTGAAGAGATATGGAGAGAGAGGGCAGCATTGTCTTGTTCCTGATTTTAGAGGAATCACCTTAAGCTTCTCTCCATTCAGTTTGATGTTGGCTGTTGGTTTACTGTATATTGCTTTTATTATGTTTTGGTATGTTCCTATTATCCCTGATCCCTCCAAGACCTTTATCATGAAAGGGTGTTGAATTTTTTCGAAGGCTTTTTCAGCATCTAGGGAGATGATCATGTGGTTTTTATTTTTCAGTTTGTTTACATGGTGGATCATTTTGATAGATTTTCGTATGTTAAACCATCTCTGCAACCCAGGGATGAAGCCTCCTTTGTTATGGTGGATGATTTCTCTGATGTATTCTTGGATTCAGATTGCCAGTATTTTATTTAGTATTTTTGCATCAATGTTCATGAGGGATATTGGTCTGTAGTTTTCTTTCTTAGTTGTGTCTTTGTGTGGCTTGGGTACCAAGGTGATTGTGGCCTTGTAAAAAGAGTTTGGTAATGAACCTTCTGTTTTTATTGTGTGGGACAATTTGAGGAGTATTGGTATTAGCTCTTCCTTTCTGGTAGAATTCTGCACTGAAGCCATCTGGCCCTGGGCTTTTTTTTTTTGGTTAGAAGGCTTTTGATGAGTGCTTCTATTTCATTAGGGGTTATAGGTCTACTTAAGTTTGTTCTTGATTTGATTTTGGTAAGTGATAGTTATCCAGAAATTTGTCAATTTCCTTTGAATTTTCAAATTTTTGGAGTATATATTTTCAAAGTATGACCTGAAAATTGTCTTGATTTCCTCAGTGTCTGTTGTTATGTCCCCCTTTAAGTTTCTGATTTTGTTAATTTGCATGTTCTCTCTCTGCTTTTTGGTTAGTTTGGATAAAAGTTTGTCTGTCCATCTTGTTGATTTTCTTGAAATACCAACTCTTTGTTGCATTGATTTTTTTTTTGTATTGTTTTCCTGGTTTCTACTTTATTAATTTCAGACCTCAAATTGATTATTTCCTGGCATCTACTCCTCCAGGGTGATTTTATTTCTTTTTGTTCTAAGACTTTCAGTTGTTCTGTTAATTCTCTAATGTGACTGTCCTCTGTTTTCTTTATATGGGCACTTAGTGCAATGAACTTCCCTTGTAGTACTGCTTTAAAGGTGTCCCATAAGTTCGGGTATGTTGTGTCCACATTCTTGTTGAATTTATTAAAGCAGGAATTTCTTTCTTTATTTCTTCTTTAACCCAGGTATGGTATATTTGCACATTGTTCAGTTTCCATTAGTTTGTATGGTTCCTGCGATTTGCATTGTTGAATTCCAGCTTTAAAGCATGGTGGTCTGATAAGATACAGGGGACTATTCCAATTTTTTTTGTATCTGTTGAGGTTTGTTATATCACCTAGTATGTGGTTGATTTTAGAGAAGGTTCCATGTGGAACACAGTAGAAGGTATATTCTTTTTTGTTTGGATGGAAGTATTTGGATGGAATGTTCTATAGATGTTTGTTAAACGCAGTTGAGACATAACTTCTGTTAGTTATTTCATTTCTGGACTGGTGGTCCTGTCTAGTGGGTAGAATGGGGTGTTGAAGTCTCCCATTATGAGTGTGTGAGGTTTTATGTGAGCTTTGAGTTTTAGTAACATTTCTTTTACGAATGTGGGTGCTTTTTTATTTGGGGTATAGATGTTCAGAATTGAGACTTTGTGCTGATGGATTTCTCCTGTGATGAATATGAAATGACTGTCTTCATCTCTTTTGATTGATTTTGTTTTGAAGTCTAACTTGTTAGATATTAGGATAGCCACACCTGCTTGCTTCTTGGGTCCATTTGATTGGGAGATCTTTTCACAACCCTTTACCCTGAGGTGATATCTGTCTTTGGAAGCTTATATGTGTTTCATGTATTTAGCAGAAGGATGGATTATGTCTTCATATCCATTCTTTTAGCCTGTGTCTTCTTATAGGCGAGTTAAGACCATTGATGTTGAGGGAAAGTAAGGACAATTGATTGTTAATGCTGGTTTGTTTTAGATTTGTTGCTGGCGGTGGTATTGTGAATATGTTTGCCCTCCTTTACCCTTGGGTTCTGCTGAACTGGGATTATCTATTGCCTATGTGTTTGTGAGCATAATTAACTTCCTTGGGTTGGAGTTTTCCTTCAAGAACTTTCTGTAGGGCTGCATTTGTCATTAAATATCTTGTTTTCTCCGTCTATAGTGATTGAAAGTTTTGCTGGGTATAGTAGTCTGGGCTGGCATCATTGGACTCTTAGTACCTACAGAACATCTATCCAGGACCTTCTGGCATTGAGAGTTTCCATGGAGAAGTCAGGTATAATTTTGATAGGTCTGCCTTTATATGTTACCTGGCCTTTTTCCTTGGCTGCTCTTAATGTTCTTTCTTTATTCTGTATGTTAGGTGTTTTGATTATTATTTGTTGAGGGGTCTTTCTTCTTTGGTCCAGTCTATTTGGTGTTCCGTATGCTTCTTATATTTTCATGGGCATGCCCTTCTTCAGATTGGGAAAGTTTCCCTCTATGATTTTGTTGAATATGTTTTCTACACCTTTGAGCTGGGCTTCTTCACCTTCCTCTATGCCTATTATTCTTAGGTTTGGCATTTTCATGGTGTCCCATATTTCCTGGATGTTTTGTGTTAAAGATTTGTTGGATTTATGATTTTTTTGGTTGATGTATCTATTTTCTAGTTTCTATTTCCTCTAGTTTATCTTCAGCACCTGAGATTCTCTTTTTCATCTGTTGTATTCTGTTGGTTATGCTATGCTTGTGTGTGTAGTTCCCGATCGTTTGCCCAGTTTTTCTATTTCTAGCTTTCCTTCAGTTTGTATTTTCTTTATTGTCTCTATTTCAGTTTTCAAGTCTTGAGCCGTTTCCTTCATGTGTTTGTTTTTTCTTGGCTTTCCGTACTTTATTTAAGAGATTTGTTCATTTCTTCCATTTTTTTTGTTTGTTTTTTTCTTCCATTTCTTTAAGGGATTTTCTCACATTGTCTTTGAGGGCCTCTATCATTTTTATGAAATTATTTTTTAAGTTGTTATGTTCTGCTTCATCTATTTTGGTGTGTTCTGGTCTAGTTGGTGTAGAGTCCTTAGATTCTTGTGGTGTCATGCTTATCTTTCTATTGTTAGGTGTTTTTTTGTATTGCTGTCTTTCCATTGATTTTTCCAGTGGTTGCAACAGTAGTGTGATGTGTCTGATCACAGTGTGATATGAATCCACAGTCAATCCAGTTTATCCAATCCAGGACCTTTGCACAGGTATAACTGCTGTGTACATTCAGGGTGGATCTTCCATCCTCCCTAAGTTTCTATGGAAACTTCCTCCTAGACACGACCAGTCAAGTGACAATGAAAATTGATCATGACCAGGGTGAATAAGAAAAGGAACATTTTTAATCCTAGGGTATGTGGTTTCTTAATCCAGGATGCATGGTACCGTTTAGGCAGGGTTATAGTTTCACTGATCTGTTGTACAACATTATTATTATGTACTTTAAAATTGCCAAAAGTAGTTTAAGTGTTCTTATTACAAAGAACTGATAAATGTAAGAGGTAACGGATATGTTAATTAGCCCAGGTTAACTATTCTATAAACCACCTATGTATAAAGTGATGAAAGTGTGGTATGTGCAATGCTGTACTCTTCTAAAAGAGTTTTTTTTCCCTCTTATTTCAGATAACCTAATGAGGCCTCTTTTGAACTACGGTATTGCTTGGTGAGTATATTTAAAAAATTTTTGTGTTTTCTGGAGAGTACTATTAACTTGTACAAATGAGCTGTATTTTTGGATTACTGTTGCAGCATGTCTATGGGATTTTTGGTTGAAGAGACTGCACCAGTTGTTTGGAGAGGCCTTATGGTAATGTCAGCTATTGAGAAACTACTGAGACAGGTAAGGGAGTTGTATTAAATGTTATTTACTTTGGCAGGGTTATGGTTAATGCATTTGCCCTTGGAAGACTTGTTAAAATTTACAGCCAGCATTGAGATATCTGACTGACAAAGAAATCCACTTGATGGGTGTAATGTGCAATATATTAATGAGCACTAAGATCAAATTTCACCAACTTAATCTTCCCGCTGCTTATGAACATAACAATTTGTTGTTTTACTTTATATTGTTTTCTGAGTCTGTTATAGGAAGAGCAAGTCTATATAGCTTTATGGTTAACCTCACAGTGGCCAATAATGATTTATAGGGACCATGTATACACTCTTCAGATGTAGATGAGTGTATATAGAGCTATGATGGTTCTTGTGATTTAAATTTCTTCACAACAGCTATTGTTATTATTGTTTTTACTGTCTATAGTTCTGTTTTTTTTTTTTGGGGGGGGTGCATGTTCTGTCAGCTTAATTCCTAACAAAAGATATCACATATGATTTCATAACCTCAGTGTACCAGGTGGGCTATAGTGCATTTATAGTTTGCTTAGAATAAACTGTACTTTTTCTCAGCAGATGAGAGGTTATAATTGTGTTTTAGGTAAATCTTTGGTCTGCCACAGCAGTTTACAGTTACCTCTTATTTGTTCAGATTCTACATTGGGTTTGGCATCATGCTATGGGTTGTCCACCGTGGGATGTCCGAATGATGAATATTTTTGATTTGATTGTCATATGGTTTTGCAACTGATGAAATAGGCCATGTTCTCTGAGACTCTGTCTTTCTAACACTTGTGCTAGTACGTCTCTAAAGAGCACTCTCTGTGATCTTTGGGCCAGAGTCCTCCTACTGTTCCAGTTGTCAAGCCTTGGCTGCATGTCCTCCTCTCTTCTCACAGGCGCTGTCGGTGATTACAGTTATGTGACCCAAATGCCCCCTCCTCACCGGTTCCTCTGTGCCTGTGACCTCTGTTTGTCTGAGCCCAGCCTTTCTATTCTTTATTGCTGAATACTGTCAGAAAATATAGAATAATTGTGTTAATTGCCTGCATTGCACACATCAGATCTCCAAAGTTAGTAACCATCTGAACACTGGAGTCAGCTGATTTTACTCATTCTCAACATTTGGCAACAGCTCAGTTTAGAAGTATTTTAAGAATTTGGGGAAAAGAAACAAGTTGTACAATGTGTACAATCCTTTATTCTCTTTTAAGGTAGGCTACAGCCTGTGACAGTATCTTCTTCATTCCTATTATTAGTTATTTGTGCATTTTCTCTTATTTTCTATTGTTCATAATCTGTGCTTTAAAGAACCTACTTCTGGCTTTTAAAATATTCTGTATTTTGTGTCTGCCCACTACTTTATTGCTTCCTGTTTTTTCACCATTTGCATCATGATAATGCTTTTGATCATTGTGGGCTTAATTTACTGTTGTTTTTCTAGCACCTGAAGGTAGAAGTTTAGATCTCTGGGTTTTAATGACTTATTTTTTTTTCAAAGTTTATGTTTGTTTACTTTTTGAATTTTTTGGGTACAGATGTGAACCTGTATGAAGTTATGTGTACTCTGAATGTACAAGAGTCCACAGAGGCCAGAAGAGCATGTCAGATGCCCTAGAACTGGAGTTACAGGTGCTTGTGAGCCACCATGTGAGTGCAGAAACTCAAGTCCAGGTCCTCTGCAGGAGCTGTCAGCACTCACTCTGTGAGCGCTCTCTACAGCCCCTGGAAATTTCTTCTTTTTAAAATAGAAGTAGTTAAGGATGTACCTTTATCACCAGGCTTTGTTTTGACTCTCACAAATTCTGATTTTCTTTAGGTTTTTACTGTTACTCAATAACTTTTAATTTCCTTTTAAGGATACATATAGTATGATCAATTTCTAAACATTGTTCAATTTTCCTAAGAGCTTAACCATATTGGTTACTAATGAAATTTGTTTTGGGTAGATGTGCTTCATAGTAATTTAACAGGTTTGGGAAATCTTTTGTGGGTCCGTGTATGTCCATCTTTGTCAATACTCTGCTTTGGCTAGTTAGGATATACTTTATAGTTATTGTGGCTAATGTTCTGCATTCTTCATTTAGATTAGGTTTATTGACAGTGTTGTTCAAATCTTTTATGTTTTTAATGGTTCTTTTTGCCTTACCATTCTATAACTTTGTAACTAAAAAGGGTATTAGATTTTGCTTCATATATTTGAAAGCTCTGTTATTAAATATACATGTTTAGAATTGTTACACCAGACTTGTGAACTGACCCATTTATTGTTGTGAAATGTTCCTCCATGTCTCTGGCAAACTTCTCATTTTGAGGTCTGCCTGATGCATATATATTTGCATATATCTCGATGGTTAATGTTCACTGCCAAGAATGGATCTAGACTCAGAGTTCTGAGCATGGCCATGGGGCACTGTGTAGATTAGCTAACTGAGGCGGGAAGACCCACATTAAATGTTGGCAGTGGCACAACATGGCCTGGGGGCCCAGATTGAATGAGAAGGGGAGAGGGAGCTGAGTGCAAACATCCTCTTCTCTGCTCCTGACTGTGGTGTCAGTGCTCTTAGCTTCTTAAAGATCTGAAGCTATGACTTCCCACCAAAGTCGACTGGACCCTTGATGTGAACGCCAAAATAAATCTGCCCTTAAGCTGCTTTGTTTCAACTAATGCACAGTTTTCTTTTTATTCCAATTCTCCAACTTGATTCAAATCCCAGGCCTTGTACTTATTAAGCAAGCTCATTGAGCTTCACCCTCAAACCCTCAGATCATTAAACATCAGTTTCATTATATTTAAAGTGGGTCAACAAGACATTTATCTGTGTCTTATTGTTTTATCCAGTTTAATAATTTTTTGCATTTTAATTGATGCTGAATTTATACATGGCATAATTGTTGCTGTGATTGAATTTGTTTTTTATTTTGACTTTTCCCATATTTGTCACACATTTTTTTCAAATTAATTTTATATTCTTGTATTTTTTTTTTTTTTGGATAAATTAAATGATTTTCTATACCTGGTTAAATTCTCTTCAGTTTTACCTCCTGGTGTTAGTATGTCACTGCCTTAGGGTTTACCATATGTTTCTTAGCTTTTCAAGGTCTTCAAGTTAATATTTTTAAAATTCCATTTAATTTTTTTAAGTTTTGATGGTTAGTATTCTTCTCTAGCTGCTTCAGGGCTTATAATATATTTTCTTAACTTATCACAGTTTTCTTCAAGTTATATCAGCACAACTGAGTGTGGAGGCAGGGAGATCTTTGCTATAGCCATCTTTGCTCCAGAGCATGTTTGAGGGCAGCTCCTGAGACAGGAGAAATAAGCCAGCAGACAGAGCTAGTGATGTGTAATATAAAGTTAATATCTTTGCAACAATATAGCTCCATTTGCCATTTAATGTACTTCATTTATTGTGATATATTTTTAATATAATAAACAATAATCTTATAAAGCACTGCTAAAATATACTTAGTTGTGTTTTAAATTAATTAAGAAAACAGTCTTTTATGTTCATTCACAGATTATTATTATTATTATTTTTTTTACTCCAGTGGTTTTTTTACCTGTTTAGTTGTTTTGTTTGGTATCTCTTTTTTTTACACTAGGGATTTTCTTCTGTATTTTGCTATGGTGTTTATCTACTGGGGTGATATCTTTCCCCATTTATTTGGAATGTATTTCTTTCTCTATATTTTCACTGTATGTAGATTTCTGATGTGACACCATTTTCTCAAGTCTTTGAAGATGTTCTGTTATTTTCTGGCCCTGTTTTTTTTTTTTATGAAATCTCCCATAGTTTCTCTAATGTTATCTTGTGAGCACTGCATTCTTAGGAAGCTTTTGCAATTTCCTTTTAAACGTTTGTAATTTATCTTTAACTCTCTATTCTTGCCTGCCCCATACATATTGACATCCTCTTAGAGCTAAGTATATATAGAGCAGTAGCTATGGACATAGCCTTATCTGCCTGATTTTATTCCCTGCTGCACACTTTATAGTTGTGTAACTCAGGTATACTCCTTTGATCTTTGTTTTCTTCATGTGTAACATGGGGTTAGCAGTGACTGCTTCACCATGAAGATTATATGATTTAATATGTAATATTCCCAGAAAACACGGCATCATATATTGTGTTTTATCAATTACAATCATTACTGTATTTTATCAATTACTATGTAACTTGGTTTTCCCATTTTGACATTTCTCCTGTTGATGGCCTTTTAGGGTTACTGGAGCAAAGTCATGTTCTTTCTAAGAGGTTATGTGTTGTTACCCCAGTACCTGTGGACATTATGAACCTGAGGCAACCTATACTAAATTTTCTTTCAAGTTCCTGGGACTACTCTTGTTTTATGAATTTAGAGTGGAAAAGTACAAGAATGCCTACTTGTGGTTCATGCTAATAAGAAGGTGCTCCAATTCCATTTCCTTCTGCTAAGACTAAGTTGGTAGGTGCATGTTTCTTTGTAAATCATGAATTCTTCAGTTACATTTAAAGAGGACTTGGTCCTTGAAGTCTCAGCGTTATGTATGGCTCTCTTCTCTTATTAGACTCCAGTTCCTTTATGCAGTTCAATTTTTTACTTCTTTTTGTTATACTTAATTACTGTCACTGGGTTATTAGATTGTTTGGATTAGTGGTTCTCCAGCATATTTACACAAAAGGATCATTGAGTAATCTTTTAAGAAGTTGGATTTCAGGTTAGACCCCCTGCCAGTTAAATTACACACTGGGGGTATGATCCAGGTGTTGCCCCTTTGGAACTCTCTGCCTGACTCTAGTTTGTGAATGGGTTTGGGAACCTCTGGTTTGCAGAACTTTAAAAACAGCATAGTCGGTTGAGAACGAGGAATGAGGCAGGGAGGGAGGTGGCTGACATATAATGCTGCCATTTTGAACCATTGGCAGAAAAAAGTGAGATTACAGTGTTTAAGATTAAATTTAAAGCAAGACAGTGGAGGTAGGGATATATTATTTACATTAGACCACAGAGGGGGAATTGGGA